CCCGTCCCGAAATGACCCCTTATACAGTGAAAGCAGTGCTTTACAGTAATTTTATCACAGGTAGTTAAGCTATTCAGAGGCTGATTTCCCAGCCACACATAGAAATCATTGTGTTGTTTAAGTTTTGGAAGTTATTGTTTGACCACTGGCAGTATTCAAAAAAACACCTGTTCTAACAAACAGTGTGGCTTATTATTTTTATAATGGTAATAATAAATCATTATTAAATGTAATATCCATAATAATGAATAATTCTCCCATGTAATCAATATCACAGAGGCTGCCATTAACTAATTATGAAAACTTTTCATTTCAACCTTTCCTTTTCCTCCAGTTATTTCACTTTTTTGTGTTGCATGTTTTGGATGTGTGCTGTACAAGAATACAGTATACAGTTGCCCCACATAACATTAAAAGTATTTTAATGTAAATTCTGTTAATCAAAATGAACAATCGTGATTACAATATCAAAGGAAGTACCTGACATAATAGTGTTTGAGACTTGTGCGGGTGTGTCTTACTTTGCAGATATTCTAGAAGGCTCCCGTGGCTCATGAGCTCTGTGACGATGTAGATGGGCTCTTCCGTAGTGCAGACAGCATAGAGCTGGATCAGTTTGGCATGACGGAGTTTCTTCATGATCTGAGCTTCTCGCAGGAAGTCTTTTGGATCCATAGTTCCTATCACACATACAACAGACGTACAGTATAGCATGCCATGTGCATGTATGTTTGGAGTTGTATATGTGTATCCATCTTGTCTCTGTTTGTGTGTGTACCTGGTTTGAGTGTTTTGACAGCGACGGCTGTGCTGTCATTCCATATGCCTTCATAGACCTGGCCAAACTGCCCTGCTCCCAACTTCTTCAAGAGTTTTAGAGAGGAACGTGAGATCTCCCACTGATCCACAGTGTTGTAAGATAGACCATGTGTCTCTGGAGCCATTGTCTAAACCCCACACACACAAAAGCAAGGAAATAGGCATTGGATTGAATATTTGATAATATCCTGTACAATTCTGTGGAATGCTATTTTAATCGGTCAGTTGCTGTGTTCTGCGGTCAAAGATTTTTGTATAATTTCACCATTGTCTCACATTCTTTGAACATCTTGTTTTATTAATTTAGGTATCAAGTGAGACAAAGAACAGTCAGCCAATTATTGTTGTGTAATAAACCCTTCAATGTTTTTTTTTTATTCAGAAAAATGATTGATGTAATAGTAAATGTTACACACTTTTTTGCAGGGTCCTGCCAAACGAACACAGAGGCCATCCTCATTTCTGTAGTTCTCCACTAGTTCTTTCAATGTGAAAAAACTACGAATCCTTGACACGAAGTAGCCACCATTATCTTGCCTTCTGATCTTATAATGCTTCACTTTTCCGTTGTCCAGCACTGCAATACAGACAGACAGCACATCAAGGACCTCAATCATAATGAAAGATGGGCTAATAAGTAAGAAAATAGCCCTTTTCCACCATAGAGCAGTAACAGTACTACTAGCATTTCCATTAGAATGTGGTTTGGTATGGTACGATTGCAAACCATGCACAGATATTTCATCAAGTTTAACAAGCTGTACTCTGGACAGGAGAACTACACTGAAAAAAAATGGTAACCTAAAAAAATTGACTTCTTGTGGTGACATCTAAATAAACTGATTTTATTTTATATAACAGAATCAGCTAAAATATATCAGGTTACACCAACAAAACAAAATTTAAGAGTAAGCTCAGGTACAGTAGAAATAGCTTTTAATGTAACAATTGCAGGTTACCACTTTTTACAGTGGATCGGTGCAGAAATGCTGTGGGGGTGTCAGACTCTGTTCCATGTTTTGTGTGTGTCCTGCTCCCCATGTGCCTTCGCATGCCCTTATTTGGTTAGTTTCCTGTTCCTGTCCTGATTAGTTTTTCATTTGTCCCAGGTGTTTCCCTTGGTCTTATTGCTCCCAGGTGTGTCTCGTCATCCCCTCCTCCTGTGTGTGTGTATAAAATGTGTTCCCAGTCCCAAGTGCTCTGTCCGCTGTTGAACGTCTTAGTGTAAACGTCTTCCTGAGTTCGTCTCCCTTGGTTCCTGAAAATAAAGTCTTGGTAACGTGTTCTCCAGCGTCTCCTCATCCCTCGTGTGTGTGCAACGTGACGGGGGTGTGCGATATGTATCATCTTACATTTTATACACAATATTGGCTTTTTTTGTTCTATTTCGCCAACGAAAATTCCAATCAAAGCCACAACAAATCTGTTGAGCATCTCCGAGAAACACACAGTGATGCTTTTTTCTGAATGAATCAAGAGTTTTAGAACAAATCAATGATTTTCAATGATCCATTCATAAAAACAGTCAATTGCTTCATTCCTGAATTAATTAGCCCTTTGAATGAATCGGTTGAATGAACGGTCGAGTGACGGTCGACTCACTCATTCAAGAGTTGCTAGTTTTAGCTTCATATTTAAAGTCATTTTTATCATTTTATGTTAGAATAAATGACCTATATAAAGGTAAAAATGCCCCTGGAAATCAATTTAAGGTGGTAAATACTGACCTTAACGAAAACTTTAAACAAACCATTGCACAGATTCAGAATATGAAGACCTTTATCGTATAACCACAGTAAGTCGGTACTAAACCACATAGGCCAAAATGCCAGTAGTTGTTTAGATGGCAAACAATTTTCAAAAAGTCAAACCAAGTACCTTAAAGCAATGGCCTACTCTTTTAAGTGGTATACAAACCACCCTTAGTCTATTTCTTTGAAATGGTCTCTTTTACTGCCACTTTCTGAGAATGACCCACAACATAAGATTCTGAATCCTTTACAAATTATAGCTGAGAACAAAGCACAAACTCTCAAATATGGAAAAATAGTGACAATATTTCATTGCTGGACTCAGGAATTAGGCTGAGTCTGTTTTTCAAGTAGTGACTGATCTGTGATACAGGGAGTGTCACTGAAAGCTCAGGGCACAGTCTAGTGTTAATGAGCTGGTGAGCAATCAACTACTCTCAATAACATGCTGGCTGACGACATATAACCAGGCACCCTGGCCAGAGTGCTCATCACAGCTTTACCTCTCATGATCTTCAAATGTCAATCGTGACTCTAAGACTGGAATGTGGAAACATATGTTTATCTTTCTTGTTACTAATCAGGAAGCAGATACACCAGCCTTGGTTAAAAAAAACAACACACATTTCAAATTCAATTTCAGTTGTGCTTTTGATGACAGCTAAATGTAACGTCACATCCGCATTTTAGCATAAACAAATGTAAATCAATGACTGAAGAAACTCTTGTATTGGTTAGATGAGCTGAAAATAATGATAAACAAATGATAATGAGGCCTTACATAGCCAGAAAACATTTATGCTTTAGCAGGGCCGTCGCTAGGAATTTGCTATGGGGTCCCCTCAAAATCATGTTCAGTGGCGCGATCGGGCCCCCCCTCGCCAAGGGCCCCTGTTACTCAGCTCCATTATTACCCCCTGTCCGACACCCCTGTGCTTTAGCTTTGGTATTTAAATCATGGAAGACTTTAAGAATACATACTAGGGTTTCTAATATTGTTACTTGTTCAAATCTGCATTTTTTTTTTTACTTTTAGGTTAGCAAATATATGCTGATACATGTGAAGCTGTGGGACGTAAGAGATCATGTGACCATAGCCAACAAGTTCTGCAAGTTTGAGTCATGAGAAACACAAAAATATGTTGTATATACTTGCACTGCATAGTAGATAAAGACACCAATCTTTCAAGTCACTACTTGTGACGTATAAGCCAAATGATGTCAAACTTTGACAAAACGTCTTCTGATCTGAGAGCAATAGACATGTATTTATTTATTTTTATTTTTTCTTTATTTGACTTTAGGGATGTAACGATTAACCGCGAGCCGGTTGAAAATCGATTAAAATATGTGACTATTCAAATTGGCTGAGATGCTAAACAAATCGCGATTCATTTAAGTGTAGGAGTTTATATGAATATATGTCTGAGGGGAACTCACTGTCTTTAGAAGAGTTTAGATGGTATTTTTTCTTTTCATCTTGCCTCTGTATAATGCATATTAAAGTTCATAAGTGCAGCGCTGCTTTGTTTACAGCGGAAACCAAGGAAACGCTTTAAGCGCCACCTGCTGGCAGTGTCTTAAATCTCATTTTGTAAAAAAAATAAATAAATCGTGAAACGAATCGAATCGTGAGTTGAGTGAATCGTTACATCCCTATTTGACGTCAGATGTACCTGAGAGTGAGAGCTCTCCTGCCTGGCTTTCACAGTTCCTGATTAGAAAAGCTCCATTCTTGTTCTCTTGAGACATCAACATCTTCTCGGCCTCCGAGCGCTTTGTTTCTGGAAAATACCATCTGCAGTGGAAGAGTATCACAATGTTATGTGAGCTAAAAATCAACCAGCAGTCACACACTGAATTTCAACAAAGAAAAAACAATACAAAATGCAATTCATAAAATACAACAAACCAAAATCATGGATCATTTAAAAATAATGAGAAAAGAATGATTCATTTTTAAACACTTTTTTTGACCTCGAGGACTGTGTGGCCAAGCATCACTTGCTAATATGGCTAATGCAATCAATACTAAAACTAATTTAATATTTAGCCAAGTATTTGTTTTATATGTCACTGTTCTGCTGTTGTTTAAAGCATTTACAGAGCTACTTTTCCTATTTATCGTCACTTTTCCTATTTATCGTATGTCATGTTAAGAATTTTGCATATTGTTGGGTCTATGCAGCAATGTTAATACATTTCAGTCTTTTTTTTTTTTTAGTTTACTTCTGTAGAATTTAATAATGTGTTGTATACTCCTTCATTCCCAGTTTAATATCATGGGTTTTGAACTTCTGAAGCAAAACCAGTTGAGAACCACCGGGGTAATTTAGGGTCCAGCCCTGGATAACAACTGAGTATGTTCAAATAAAGACTATGGAATTCTTATATAATAAACTAACCCTTGGCTGACTCAGTGTTTATGATTGTTTTAAGTTAACATACACAAAGCTTATGCAGACGCCTTGTGTCCAGTAGGTTATGTCTAAATCTTCCAACACAGAGATCATACATGTACAGCTGAAGATCTGCTGACACGTGATGCTGTCACACATTAGCAATACAATGAACTGTATAATCAAGTCTTGTCAGATGGCTACATTTGACTACAAATTGCTACAAAACATTTACACTCAAGCCATTATGTTGTTGGTGACAGACCTGGAAAAACTGGAAAGTTATCTCTAACAAAGTCCATTCGTCAGAAACTATTTAGCATGCCAAAATGAAATACAAAGCATAGAGATTTTATCACACATGACATATTTAATATAACATGTCATATTAAAATTAAAATAGATATATATTTTTGGAAGAATTATTAATTTGATATTTTTATACTATGCACTTTTTATCGATTTATGACACCTACAGTGCACAAAGCCTAGGAATCATTAACAGGCTCAACATTCTAGTACTTCCTGGTTGACCACTGAACATTACCCAGCTTCCCTTAAGAAACAATACAAGGGCAGATAATGCAGAAACAGAATCTGTTGCCAGCTGCTGCCAGGAATCCTCATAATATCCCTCTTGCTGAGCGCAGAGGCTCACAACTAGGGTCTATGCGCGCAATACAATACATAGCCTACATTACAATAATTATGGGACTTCCAAACCACACTAATGATCCCCTGTTCCCAATTAATCCCATCTTTAAAAAAAAAAAAAAAAAAAACCATTAATTGCATAGCCTACCATCACTTGCCAGTACATACATATGAAATTACATTTAATATACATAGGCTATACATACGAAATTACTTTTTCAGGGTTTTCTTTGCTTACAGAAGACCTGCCACAAACTTACGGTTCAGTATCCCCTGCCAAATCATGCTCCGTGCGCGCCGTGTAGTCGTACAGCGCAATGTAAACGTAGCCGGGTTTGCCGGGTTTCTCCCTGTTTGGCGGCTTTGTAAATTCATTAGTTTGCACTTCATGTCGTTTCTTGGTGCTAGATGAGGTGCTGTTCGCCGGGTCTCTAAAACACGGGAAAGTACTTTGACAGCACAGTTTAAACCTCCCTCTGAAGTCTTCCATCGTGAAGTTGTTCACCAGTCCCGTATGTGTATCAAGTTAAACTGAAGCAGTAGGCTAATATCGCATTTCAGTGTTCCATTGGGTTTGTTTCATTCCAGTAAATGTTGCGTGATGTCGTCCATTCTGTGAGCTTGTGAAAACCCTTGGACCGGTGACACGAGATAGCACAGTCCTGTCGACAGTAAAGCAGGCGATTTATTGCTTGCGGTCAAAAATCTGTTCGCATTTCCTGGTCACATTCCCCTGACAAAGTTCAAGATCATTCTCCGCTCCTCGGACCGATAACACTTGCCTTAAGTTTTAAGTCAATCCATGAGAATGCTGAATGTTTTAGGCGAGCTCGTAACAGAAATCGCCCTGCATGAACAGATACTGGATTCTGAGACAGGTTGTTTCTTCAATACGCCCTCAGGCCAGGACTCTCTAATGCTGGCCACATATTACGCAATGATTAATTCAGTTTACATTCAAGCTAGTAAGCTAAACGAAATCACGGAAAAATAACTAATTTGAATCAAATGTCAAAAGCAGACTCTTTCAATACACCTGCACCAATTTGTACAACTGAGTTGTAAAAACAAAACCGTAGGCTACTATAGGTACTATGCCTTTATTACTCAGAAAACCCCAATTAAGGTACACTGATTTGTTTCAGCACCATTACCACTGAGGTGGGGCAATCTTGATAGAATTTTCCTTCTTTCCCCCTACTTATGCAGTTTTTGTCCTCTTTAGTTTCATTCACTCTTTTTTCAAAATCAACTTAAATGCTGTTAAATTGTTAAAAGAACATCAAAAAAGTCGACTCCATAAATTGATGTAACTTCCCTAAAATTGTTTTGTTTAAAGTCAGCATTATGTTGTATATTGTTTCCCTTTAGGTAAGTGGAACATCATATATATATATATATATATTCATCTAACTGTTTTTCAGTGTAATGCTTGTTTGTTTTACAAGAAATCACTGTTATTATGTGTTACATAAGTAATATGAATGGGCTGCTTTTTTCAAATTGATCTGACTTCATATTAGATCATTAATCCACACTTGATGCAGCAATATAAAAATGCAATAAATGTATTAAATGTTGTATTAAAGGGGTCATATGATGCTGCTAAAAAAGAACATTATTTTGTGTATTTGGTGTAATGAAATGTTTATGCGGTTTAAGGTTAAAAAAAAAACATTATTTTCCACATGCTGTACATTATTGTTTCTCCTCTATTCCCCGCCTTTCTGAAACGCATCGATTTTTACAAAGCTCATCGTTCTGAAAAGCGAGGTGTGCTGTGATTGGCCAAAAATTGAAATCGCATCATATGACCCCTTTAAAAACGTAACAGTATTATAAACATCATACTATTGATTTGGTTAATATGATCACTTTTAAGATGAGATAATATCTTGCAATTAATTGTGTCATGCACAGACATTACCATTCAGCATGTCAAACACAACAATAGTAACAATCAAATTAGACAACAAACCAAAGCTAATGCCTAATGTATTTTTGCCGCAATCCACTCTGGGAGTCAGTATAGGTCTACTTGTGACTGAGAATACAGGAAGTAAAGAGAATAATTAAAGAATACTCAAAAGATTTTTGGTAACTGAGACTTCTGCTAAACTTGATTTATTATGTGACAGTACTTAAATCTCTAAGATTGCTGAACTAATTTTTAACTTGTCAAATTGAGTTACTAATATTCACATTTTCTGGTTTCTTATACAAAGTTATCTACACACATTAATGTAAGCTATATAAACTTAGTTTATACACTTTTTAAAATAAAGCAAATGTATTACAAAGATATTTAATGAGTTTCAGACTGTTTTGAGGGATTTTTTCTATGGATTTTCTGGACAACAATTATTGGATCTGTACCCAAACAGAAGAAAATCCTCCAGGAATTCATGTTAAAGGGATGGTTCACCCACAAATTAAAATTCTGTCATATTTTACTGTGGGACTGACTTTCTTCTGTGGAATATACAAGAAGAATTTTAAGGAAATGCACATAGAGATGTGAAGTTAACCTGTTGCACGCTCTACTCAATTTAGGTCAGTTTTTAAAGGTGCATTAAATATAACAATGGGACATGCAAAGTAAAACATTTTTACTGTCCCAATTAGTTATATGGTCCTACGATGTTGACGTGGCACAATACAGATGAGTGACCTTATCTGCCCTTGGATAATGGCTTTATTTCCTATACTTGTGACACTTCACTTGTGATCACTGTCAAATTTGTAGCTGTTTGCTGCATTTGTGGCTCACCAGTGCCCTCTGATGGAACTCTCTCTGCGGCACCCATTCAGTGCACTGCTGTCTGAATCTTCTGTGCTTGTCATTGATCCTGGACCTTTCATTTGCTATTTCCATCAAGGGCTTATTTAAAAGTGCTACCAGTCCACTATGTATTCACCTTACAGTTTCTTAAAATTTCAGTCACTCATAATTGCAGTACTTTCACAGTTGTCTCAGTTTTGTCACATGGTCTATGATATCTTTACACCTGACACATTCTGAAGTTGAACTTGAACCTCAGTACTGCTATATTATTATTTCCCCCCCACTCTTGGCTTCACTTGAGACACACAACAGATGTCTCGTTAAACAATAGTAGTTGCTTTAAGCCCGCTGAGTAGAACCTTTCTTTTGACTGTATTTTGGATGTCATAAGCCAGAAACTGAGATAAAAATAATAATTAATAGATCATTATTGTTATTACAACACTTTAAAATAACTTTTATTAATAAATCATTAACAAATATTATATAATGGTTAACTGATAATTTAGTATATATTCACATATAGCTAGAAATATGAGATAATGTAAATGTAAATGACTAATGAACTAATGAACTTAAGCATCACCTAATGCATTGGTCTTTTAAACTCAATTCCTGGAGGGCCACAGCTCTGCCGTTTTGCTCCAACCCTAATCAAACACACCTGATCTGGCTAATTAAGGTCTTCAGGATCACTAGAAACTTCCAAGCAAGTGTGATTTGGATCTGGTTGGAGCTAAACTCTGCACAGGAATTGAGTTTGAGACCACTGACCTAATGTTTAACAGATCCTTATTTCATGTAAGATTCGATGTTTAAAATGTCATTAAAGTTTCAATTCATATGATCATGCATTTAAAAATCTTAAAATGATTTTGACATGGTTACAGTGATTAAAAACGTCATTAATAAATAATTGATGAACATTATGTGACCCTCTCTGTAAAAACCCAGCTAGTCTTTTTTTTTTTTGTAATTTACTGTTTTCTACATAAAATCATCCTTAAAGAACATTCTGTGAAAATGTAACCTTTATATCTTTAATATTGACTGAGTAAGGCCATATGTCAAAGATTGAAATTATAGTGAAATTAATGGTTTAAATCAAACTTTGATGCTTGTTATCTCATAATTAGATTTTGAGACTTTAGCCTGGAGAGAATCACATACAGGTGCATCTCAATAAATTAGAATGTCGTGGAAAAGTTCATTTATTTCAGTAATTCAACTCAAATTGTGAAACTCGTGTACTAAATAAATTCAATGCACACAGACTGAAGTAGTTTAAGTCTTTGGTTCTTTTAATTGTGATGATTTTGGCTCACATTTAACAAAAACCCAATCTCCGACATTCTAATTTATTGAGATGCACCTGTATAGTGCTTAAGGGATCATTAGTTAATGGTTACAATTTAACTTTCAATTTACGATCATGCACTTTCAAAAAACCATGCAAATTATTTTAACAGAAATTAAACCATGATTAAATCCTACTTTTGAATGCTAACAAATGTCATTAAATTTCGGTTCATATCTACTCTTTTTTTTTTTTTACAAATGTTGTGGAAAAAAATAGCCTTACTTCACAAACTAGGCCTATTCATGTTAACATATTATTCATTAACTCATAACCACAGTCTGTAAAGGTCTTGTTTATTCAAAAAAATGACAATTTTGGAATTTTAGTTTAGAATTAAACTAGCACACACAGACTCACACACTTTGTTTTTTTTTAATCAATGACCGGAAAACGTTATTCTGAGAATAATGATTTCTTTTGCAGCTTCACCCAGGCATGACAATGTTCGATAATGAAGTGCCCTGTTGAAAAAAACAGCATATGCTGGTTAGGTATGTTTCGACGCTGGGATGCTGGTTTAAGCTGGTCCTTTGCTGGTTTATGCTGGTCCTTTTGCAGCACATGACCAGCATAAACCAGCAAAAGGACCAGCATAAACCAGCAAAGGACCAGCTTAAACCACACTCTAAAAAATGACCTAACCAGCATATGCTGGTTTTTTCAACAGGGTGATGTGTGCCAGTCCGTTTTGATCGCGTTATTACGGTAACAGCACCCGGAAATGCGCGAATATTCACATATTTTTACGTTCGTACAAGCATGATCCAAAATCCGCGTTGCTCGTATGCAGTGTTCCAGTACAACCGGCACCGTAGTATTTCTGCGTCGCATGCCGAAACGCGTTCTGTGGATGCCTGCGCTTTCGCTGTAACGTCTCCGTAGAAACACGGCTCGTAGTCTTTTGGGACATTTGTTGTCGCCGCTATCCCACGTGTTGCAGAAGAGACAAATACATCGCAGAATCCCGCCAGCGAGCGAGCTGCATCGAGAGCTTGAAGTCATCGCTGTCACTGCGAGATATTGCAATCCTGTAGTCTTTACAGTTCACATCTCCCATTCCTTCCAAAGGCTATACAATGAGCGAATACTTCTCGCTGTCGGAGTGTGATGTAATTGGCTTTGACTTGGACCACACGCTCTGTCGATACAATTTGAAGGAGACCTCCAGGGTGAGTCGCACTGGCATCATGCATATCATGACACAACCAACCGACCTCAAACGCATAATAGGCTAGGGCTTACACAATGGCGCAAATGAAATGCATGATTTGTTCTGTCTGCTTTACATTACTGGACCTGAAGCGAACCAGTGTTGATGCGCTAATCTAAAAGATCGATCTATTCGGCAGGCCTTGTGAGAACACATTGAGAAGGCGAGAGGTGTGTCTCCTTTATCTGTCATTCCAGGAGGATGTTCATGCAAACACCTTTTGCGTTGATTTCATCTGACGTGTAGTTTATGGGCAGCTAGATAAAGCTTAACTGTATTAGCTCGAGATGAAGCTTCATTTATGACATCTCCATGTTACTGTACCTTCACTTAGTAGCCTACTTACATGTATTTCTTCTTCTGTCTGTGTGCAGCTGATCTATGAGAGTTTTGCACGGTATCTGGTGGGACACAAGGGCTATGATAAAGATCTACTTCATTTGACACCTGCTACTTGGGATTTCTGGTGAGAAGACCGTTTTATTAGTAAAATAATTGGGAAGACCTGCATGGAACCAGATTCGTCATTACCAATGCCCATATATACTCAAAACAAACAGATGCAGATGTTCATGCTGAAAGACTCTGGTAGCAGTTAATCGTTCTTTAATAAATATTTAAAGCATTTTACAGTCCTAAATAACTATTTACAGCATAATTCAGATTCATAACATCATACATTTCTTATTTCATTTTTGCTGTTAAAATATGCTAATTAAAATCAATGGGACAAATACAATGGAACAATGGATACAATACAATGGATACAAATTAAATAAACATAAAGTTTAAAGTTTTTCAGGTACAATAGGTTTATTTAACATCTATTAAGACGTGCTACAGAAATGGAATTATCAAATGTAAAAATAAAACCGTAGTTTTCACTGTATTATTTAAATATAAATTAAATCTTATTAGATCGATCCAAAGGTTATTCAGTCAAGAGCAGCGAATAATTTTCACTTTATTTTGCCGTTTAATTAACATTCAAATATATTGGCAGCAGCATGTTTATTAGGCTCCACATGAAGGATATTGAGTGCATCATGCACATGCTGTATTGGAAAATTTACATACCGCGATATAGCAAAATCTCTAACAATAGGCACTTTATATGCCACACTGCCAGCCCTACTTATTATTAACAAACTGAATGTTGTTTCAAGCAGGTATTCTTGTCATTAATACAGATTATGAAATGAAATTGATATATCTATAATAGTGTCAGTTTTCTTAACAAAGCAATAAGTTGCTGTCCTAGTATGAGCCTGTTTATCTCTCTAGTACACAAACACAGTTGCTTGTTGTCATGTGACCAGTTTTAAAGGTCTTGTGGTGGACCTTGAGGAGGGCAACCTGGTCAAGTTGGCAGAGGACGGTACTGTCTTGCGGTAAGTCAGTTTCAGTATGACTTGTGTGTGTGTGTGTGTGTGTGTGTGTGAGAGAGAGAGAGAGAGAGAGAGAATGATTACTGTGCAGCAAATTTTATAGCTCCTTTTTTTGGAAAAAGATTAATTATACATAAAGAAATATATAAACTTCTCTTAACCTGTTATATTAAGTTGTTAATCTGTTTAAAACATATTTATTTGTAGAGCAACTCATGGCACTAAAGACCTTAGTACTGACGACATCATAAAGCATTATGGTCCAAAAAGAGAATGGAAGCATTTTAATAGCCTCAATACCTCGTACACACGATCTGGTAAGGATGTGTTTTTGAAGATAGTTCATTTTATAATTTCCAATGTCAGTATAACATTCATAAGTTTATTAAATCTTTTGATTCATTTTTTGTGATGTATTTATTTAGAGTTTAATATTTGAATTATCCTCATATTATCAAATAACTGTCCTTGCTTTAATATGTGATTTAGTGCACTCATTTGTTGCAGCAAAATACTATTTTTATGACAACTATTTTGACCTCCCTGGTGCTCTTCTCTGTGCCGGAGTGGTGGATATGTTGAATAAGGTAAAAATAAATCAGTGCTTTTCAAAAATTCGATATTTCTATTGTAGATCAGAAGTAGCATTTGTTAATTAGCCGTAGAGTGACTGTTTACAGCGTATATTGTCATTTGTTAATGTTTTTATTTATCATTTTTTAACCCTAGCGAGGAGCTGAAATCACATCTGACTTTTGGAAAGACATTGTTGCTGCCATTGACCATAACTACAGCACATCTGCATTTCGGGGTATGTAGAAATTACTCTCTTATATCTCTCTTATACACTCTTTATGATCAGCATTTCAAAGTGTAATTTAATTTTGATATTATATAATGTCTGTAAAAATCCAATGTGTGTATATCAAACAGAACACAGTCTTTGACCTATCTGCATAACATTTTGAATGTTTTAATTAGTTAGCCTAAGATTTTTTTTGTTTTGTTTTTTTTTTGCAAAGTTTGAAGTCAGGATAAGATATGTTTCAGGATGAAAACGTAAAGGTCTTTGTACTGAGGATTTCAGCATTAACCTTTTACCACAGTCATAAACAAACAGTAGCACTGGCACTAAAACTTTATTTGTGTTGGTTATTATAATGCACACCTTGTGAGATTTTACAGAGTTAAATGAACAAACAAAACAGAACAAACAATTATTATTCACTTTGGAATCCATTTATTTCAAAACCTGGCTCACTTAATGTCTCGTAAAGAAACCATTGTGTCATACTAAACACACAAACCTTTTGCTAAAATGTGAGCACAGGACAAAGGCAAACACATAGCACCATTTTAATACATAACCATCAGTTCAGGCTTTAGGCAAATGCAGCAGGTCCATTGTCTAATTTCTTGGATAATTTTTATTGGTGTTCCATAATAATTGAGATTATCAAAATATTTCCATACAAATAGGTCTTTATGTAAATCCACAAGCTACAGACATGTTTTCTAAATTAGTCATCCTTTTCCATTCTGCATGACTCTTGGGGCAATGAGAAAATGAGTATAAAGGCAGACAATTTTTGAAATAGAAAGATTGAGGTTTTCTCGAGTGTGTTTATCACGTTGAGGCAATCAAGAAGCCAGAGAAAGAACAGTGAACATTATCATCAGCATAAATGCCATTGGACTGGTCATCTGGAACCTGGATGTACACTGTGTCATGGGAATCCAGCATGAGGACAGCACTGCCAGACATCTGGTCAAGGAAACCTTTGTTGTACTCATCATAAGAGAACAGGACTGGATCTCTGTTTTTGTAAAGTGCTACCAATGCATTTGCTCCATTGACATGCATATGGAAAGAAAAGTAGTAAAGTCCTGGAACCTGACAGGTGAATATGCCAGTGCTGGGATCATAGTGGTTCTCTCCATTGTAAACAACCTGATTGAATGCAATTGGTGTTCCAGCATTAGGATAAGCTGTGGTAAGAAGAGCTGTGAATGCTGACATGGGTGCCTTCATCATCTCGTGACTAACAGGCATTACCATCTCATGGGATTTAATTGGCATGCTTTTCTCATGGTGATAAATAATCTCGCCTGGGGGTCCAGGAGGCCCAGGAGGTCCTTGTGGACCTGGGAGACCATCATGACCTCTGCCACCAGGGATACCAGGAGGACCCTGAGGTCCAGAAATTCCCTTGGCTGTGAGCCCTGCTGGGCCAGGGGGGCCTGGAAGTCCTGGATGACCCTTAAACCCTGGTGTACCAGCAGGTCCTACTGGGCCTGTTGGTCCTCTTGCTCCAGGGATACCATTTTCACCCCTTGCACCTTGTGACCCTTGAAGTCCTGGATGTCCCTTTTCTCCTGGTGGCCCCTTGCTACCTGGGATACCTGGTGCACCGGTAAATCCTGATTCGCCCTTGGAACCCTGATGCCCCATATGACCCATTGGACCTGGTGGACCTGCTGCGCCTGGAACACCAGGTTTTCCTGAGAAGCCATGTGCACCTTGCTCACCCTTTGCACCCCTTGGACCTGGTGCGCCAACCAGACCAATGTCACCTTTAGCTCCCTGTGGACCTGCTTCTCCCTGGAATCCCCTAGCACCCTGAGGACCAGGCGGACCTATTGGGCCAATAGCACCTGTCTGACCAGTGTGACCCA